GGATCAGTGCTGATCCTGCCCCCTGCTGTAAAAAAAAATAAAGTTTATTTAAAGTCCCCCCCCCCCTACCCATTTTAATAAAAAATTAACCCCTTCCCTGCCAATTGATCACTGACTACAGTGATCAATTGGCAGGGATTACATTTTACTATGATCTGATTTTTTTTTTTAACCCCTGAGGGTTAATTTTTTTTTTTTTAACCCTCAGGGGTTAAATTAATTAAATTAATTAATTAAATTATTTTTACATTATATATTTAGATAGCTGGGGTAGGTGGAAGTTAGTGGGGAATTGGGGATTTGACGTTAGGCTAACTAGGGGTTAACGTTAAAAAAAAGTTTTAAAAGAAACTTTAAAAGTTAAAATTAAGCTTAAAAAAATGTTTTAATAACATTTAAGTAAAAAACAAAAAAAACACTAATTTTACCTAGTCCAAATAAAATTAACCCCCTTCCCTGCCAGCTCCATCACTGCCTACAGCGACAAATAGAGATCACAGTATTATACTGTGATTCGACTTTTTTTAACCCCTGAGGATTAACTTCTTATTTATTTTTTAACCCTCAGGGGTTCAATTTATTTAATTAATTCATTTAAATATTTTATAATTATATATTTTGCTAGCTGGGGTGGGTGGGAGTTATGGGAAAATGGGGAATTTACTGTTAGTGCTGCTTACTGCTAGTTAGGGGTTAACTGTAAAAAAAAAAAAAGCTTAGAAAATGTTAAATCTGTAAAAAAAAGTTTTAAGAAAGTTTAGGAAAGTTTAAAAAAATTAATAAGCAAAACAAAAGTTTAAAAACTAGTTTTTAAAAGTAAAAAAAGTTTCAAAAAGTAAAAAAATACATTTAAAAACGCTCATTACCACTACACCTGGAACAAACTAGAGAAAATTATCCCACGCTAAGGTTCAAAATATGCCTTTTGAATTACCCCAGGGTGTATTCTTTAATAAATAGTATGTGTTTGTGGGGAAGTTTCAATAACCAACCGCCTAAACTACTCCAAATTGGAACATGGACACAGCGTAAAACTTCAAAGTTAGAAAAAAACTGAATGGCTGCGTCTCAAATGCGCCCCTTCAACATCCACACATACCTGGCAAAGGTACATACAGGGGTATTGCTGTACTCAGCTGATATAGCTGAGCAACATATGAAGTATTATACAGTCATAGTACACATAAGGTTTGTGCGCTGGCGCAAAACTCACTTTGTCAAAAGGGCAGAAAAATGCTTATTACTACTACACTTGGTACAAGCTAGCTGAAAATGATCCCACGCTTAAGGTTCAAAATATGCCTTTTTAAATACTCTGGGATGTCTTCTTTAAGAAATGGTATGGCTTCTTTATGGGGAATTTGGATTATATAGCCTGGTAAATACTCTAAATGGGACATGGTAAGTAATAAAAGCATAAAAATTCAAAGTTTGAAAACTGGAATGTATTGTGTCCCAAATGTGCCCCCTTCGATGTCCACAATATTGGCCTGGCAAAGGTACATACGGGTAATAAGGTAATTAGTCACCCATATAGCTGGAGCAACATATGAAGTATTATACAGTCATAGCACACATAACGTTTGCAAAATATGCTGCGCAAACTCACTTTGTATGTCAAAAAGGCAGAAAAAATGCTTATTATCACTACACTTGGTACAAGCTAGCGGAAAAATGATCCCACGCTAAGGTTCAAAATATGCCTTTTGAAATACCCTGGGATGTCTTCTTTAAGAAATGGTATGGCTTTATGGGGAATTGGGATTATATAGCCTGGTAAAATACTCTAAAATGGGACATAGGCACAGCATAAAAATTCAAAGTTTGAAAAAAAACTGGAATGGCTGTGTCCCAAATGTGCCCCTCCGATGTCCACACATACCTGGCAAAGGTACATACGGGGGTATTGCTGTACTCAGCCGATATAGCTGAGCAACATATGAAGTATTATACAGTCGTAGCACACATAAGGTTTGCAAAATATACTGTGCAAACTCACTTTGTCAAAAAGGCAGAAAAAACGCTTATTACCACTACATCTGGTACAAGCTAGCGGAAAAATGATCCCACGCTAAGGTTCAAAATATACCTTTTGAAACACCCTGGGGTGCCTACTTTAAGAAATGGTAGGCCTTTGTGGGGTAGTTTGAATTTAAAACCTGCGAAGATGCTTGGAAATTGCACATAGGCCCAGCGTCAAAATTCAAAGTTTGGTAAAAACGGATATGGCTTGGTCTCCTATATGGCACTGTAGCTTCACAAAATAGTGCCAAAGACATTCATTGGGGTGTATTTTTACTCAAAAGACTTAGCTGAGCATAATTTGGGAGGTTTGAACTTAGTGGCACATATGAAATATACAAAACGCCCAGCAAAAATGCAATCCGTATGTAAAAAATGCACAAAATAATTTTTTTACCACATACTTTGGCATATATTGGTGAAAAAATGGGGTATGTTAAGGCACAATATGCACCTTATGAGATACCCTGGAGTGTCTACTTTTACAAATGGTAGGTCTTTGTGGGGGTTTTTTGAACAGTCAAACTGTTATAATACCCCAAATGGAAGCTAAGGCTCATTAAATCCATCTCTCAAAATTCTACTGTGAATACTGTAAAGGACAGGTCTCCTATATGGCACTGTAGCCTCACGAAATAGTGCCAAAGACATTCATATGGGGTGTCATTTTACTCAGAAGACTTAGCTGAGCATAATTTGGGGGGTTTGAACTTAGTGGCACATATGAAATATACAAAACGCCCAGCAAAAATGCAATCCGTATGTAAAAAATGCACAAAATTATTTTTTACCACATTCTTTGGCATATATTGGTGAAAAAATGGGGGCATGTTAAGGCACAGTATGCACCATATAAGATACCCTGGAGAGTCCACTTTTACAAATGGTAGGCCTTTGTGGGGGTTTTTTGAACAGTCAAACTGTTATAATACCCCAAATGGAAGCTAAGGCTCATTAAATTCATCTCTCAAAATTCTACTTTGAATACTGAAAAGGACAGGTATCCTGTATGGCACTGTAACTTCACGAAATAGTGCAAAAGACATACAATGGGGGTGTCATTTTACTCAGCAGATGTAACTGAACACAAAATAAAACTTTGTATAGGAATAGCACACACCAACTTTACAAAATATACACGAGAATTTCTCTGTTATAAGTTTGTGTGCCAAAAACCAAAAAGAACACAATTTTACTCCAATATTTAGCAGAGGTTGGCGGTGAAATGGCTACGTAGAAAGTGTCAAAACAACCTTAGGTAAATAGCCCGTGATGTCTACTTTATATAAATATATACTTTTGTGTGACAATTTTGTTTTCTTTTATGGCTATTAAGCTTACAAGACAAACATACCAAATTCTAAAATCGCTCCACATTAAAAGTCTATTTTACTCCTTGTGCTTTGTGACCTGTAACTAACAAAAAAAACTTAAAATCCCAGACACATTATATATTCTGTAAATCAGAACAAATAAATAAATTTATTTTTAATTACTTTCCTTAACCTGCACTAATTATGCACACATTATTATTGCAAAAACTGTAAAAAAAAACAATATTTTTCATTTCTTTGCATTTTTCTGTATTTTTTTTATAATAAGTAAGCATTTATATATACGTATGTTATATCAAATTAAAGCCCTTTCTGTCCTTTAAAAAACAGTATATAATATGTGTCGGTGCAATAAATGAGAGAGATGCAAATTGCAGTTGAACGCAAACAGCAAGAAAATGCAAAAATTGCTTGTGTCATTAAGCGTAAGTTAAGCTTCTGAAGCTGTGTCCTTAAGGGGTTAAAGGTACACTCCAGGTTCCCACACACTTTAGATGCACTGTGTAGGTTAGGTTACAGTTAGTTATTGTGGGTGGGTTTATATTATTAAAGGGACACTCCAGGCTCCCACACACGTTAGATGCACTGTGTAGGTTAGGTTACAGTTAGTTATACTGGGTGGGTTTATATTATTAAAGTGACACTCCAGGCTCCCACACATGTTAGATGCACTGTGTATGTTAGGTTACAGTTATACTGGGTGGGTTTGTATTATTAAAGGGACACTCCAGGTTCCCACACACATTAGATGCACTGTGTAGGTTAGGTTACAGTTAGTTATACTGGGTGGGTTTATATTATTAAAGGGACACTCCAGGCTACAAGACAAACATACCAAATTCTAAAATCGCTCCACATTAAAAGTTTATTTTACTCCTTGTGCTTTGTGACCTGTAACTACCAAAAAAAACTTAAAATCCCAGACACATTATATATTCTGTAAATCAGAACAAATAAATAAATTTATTTTTAATTACTTTCCTTAACCTGCACTAATTATGCACACATTATTATTGCAAAAACTGTAAAAAAAACAATATTTTTCATTTTTTTTGCATTTTTCTGTATTTTTTTTATAATAAGTAAGCATTTATATATATATATATGTTATATCAAATTAAAGCCCTTTCTGTCCTTTAAAAAACAGTATATAATATGTGTCGGTGCAATAAATGAGAGAGATGCAAATTGCAGTTGAACGCAAACAGCAAGAAAATGCAAAAATTGCTTGTGTCATTAAGCGTAAGTCAAGCTTCTGAAGCTGTGTCCTTAAGGGGTTAATAGACTGGATCCATGTTGTCTTTTCTTGGACTGACATCACATGCTGGCATGGGGGGGGGGAGCTCTCTCCTGGAGCCTAGGTTGCCATGGTATCTGGAATGCACCATTTTATCATGTTCTTGGTATCATTATATGAATTCATACTACTCCTCATGTCCCCACCTCCTCCTCCCTCATCACCTGGCTCTCATAGCCATCCAAGAAACATACCAAAAACAATCAAGTGGAGCAAATTGTTCACTACACGTTAAGAACCGTTACAAATATAAATAAATAAATGAAGACGTAAAATGCGACACCAACAGTATTAAGAATAATTAATTTAAAAAAAAAAAAAAATGAAGAAGAAGAAGAAGACGCTCTCCAATCTGTGTAAGTTTGTCCCAATCGGCTCCCTGTACTCCATGACGTCACCGAGCCACGTGACTCCCAGCAGAGCCACCGCAGCACCGGGCTATCTGAGCACCAGGAGGGGGAGAGAGAGCGAGCATCGTCTTCATTACCCGCACCGCCGGCTGTGAGTGAGTTTCAATGTAAGAGCCGAACCGCAATGTAGTCCTTTACAATAAATGGTAATGTGTGTGTACATCTATAGGGCACGCGGTGATATGATGTGTGTCTTGGTCAAGGCAGCCCATGCTCTATTAATAAAACCATGGTATATTGCATGTGTATGGACAGTCATGGCAATAATGGCTGTTTAAGCCCATACCGGTAGCAGGCTCTCCATACACTGTGCTGCACACACCGTATTGGGGGTGTGAGGGATGTCACATGTCTCCCCCAGGGGGGCTTCATGCTCCTTGTTCAGTCGATGCTGCAGAGACTCATTGAATGATGAAATGGAACTCTCCTCCTCTGCATTCATTGCAGCCATGGAACGCTGGCTAACCTATTAATTCCATTTTAGCCCATGGAATGGTTATCTTAATAACAAAGGGGTGGGGGGTGAATGGGTATAGATATGTTTTATACCGTATGATGTGTGGACATTACTGCATAGAGGATTCATGAACATATTGCATGATCTGAGTGAATGCAGAAACCTGCTAGGGTTTTATCACTCATTCACACTGCAAGCTGCCTCCATTCCCCCATGTAAGGTGATCTGGCAGACAGCAGCTCCACTGATAAGTTGCCAGAGGCTAATTGTATATGTGACATATAGTTGCCTATTGCATCAGTTTTTTGTTTTTTTTACTTTGGAAGCTTTGCATGTGTTGGCTCGTGAGGGACACTGTAGAACTGGAAGAGATACCCGTTTTAACCATTTTAATGAATTCTATAGATAATGCATTCCAATTGGTATATATAAAATTTTTCATTTAAGTTTCTTAAAGCTGTTACAAAGAAACCACTCCAATAATAAGAAAATTCTCCAGTAATCGGGAACCAATCCATCTTAATATAGTTTTATTTTTTTCATGTAGCATAAACATCTGTCAAACAGGTGTTTATTGGATATGCAGTTTAACTCCCATTATATGAGGGGTAGTACTTACTAGATGGCTGTTGGTAGGCATAGTGCTGCTGCTGCTATCAGTTTATGGAAAGCTATGTTCACAGGTTTGCAAACTTGGCCTTTGCCAGCATTTGCCCGGACTGTCAATAGATAGGTCACAGCCTACATGCTTTCTCTTGGATGGATTTAGACATCAAATGAGAGAGTATGCTTTGCCCAAGTTGAAGAGAGGTCAGACTGCAGTGATGCAGCCCTAAACAGTAACATTGGACCTCTTGAGCATATTGCATAGTTTATTCTGGTGCTTAGAATTATTCTTTAATATTGGTGAAAACTATTCCAAAATAAATAATAAAATAAATTTACATTACTAAAAGTCAAACATGTAACTAGTTGTCAAATGTCAGCTTTTATTGATATTGTTTGCCGAAGAGTCAATTTGTTTAACTTAATATTTCCTTTTATATTTTGCATGTATTTTCTCGCCTGTACCGTGCACATTTGAGAAAGTGTTTTAAGTTCAAACAATATATCTTTTTATAATACTTATTCAGAGCCGTGGGGCTAAATTGCTGTCTACCATGAATCTATATACTGTAACTATTCTAATTATACAGTTGGATTAGCTTTTAACCCCTTAAGGACACATGACATGTGTGACATGTCATGATTCCCTTTTATTCCAGAAGTTTAGTCCTTAAGGGATTAAACAGCATGCTATGGAGACACTGTGAAAAAGTAAAAGGTCACTCCTACGTGTATAACGTGTTATTTATTTATTTTTATCGACGTCACTGAAAGTGCATCAGTATATAAGAGAGGCACACACTTTCAGGATTATTTACGAAACACTGAGGCTAAAACAGCTAATTTTGGGAAAAAAATGCCAACTCAGCTATAGTCACAACATTTAATATTTTAGCCTAAATTTTTGAATTCACTAAAGTCCTGGTATTTAGGGAATGATGCTTTTTGTTCCTAGGTGCTGCAGAGTATGCACTCCTTCTTATGAAATCCACAATATATAAATTAAAAATGTACACCAGTGTTAAAATGTATTTAAAGGAAAGCCTAAGTCACCAAAACAACTTTGGCTTAATGAAGCAGTTTTTGCATATAGATCATGCCTCTGAAGTTTCACTGCTCAGTTTTATGCGATTTAGGAGTTCAATCACTTTTGTTTTTTTCTATGCTGCCCTAGCCACATCCTGCATGAAAAAAAGTGGTTTCATGTTTACTCAGATATTAACATTCTTTAGAAGTTTTTGTTTCCTGCTCTGTAAATTGATCTTTAATTACATACAGGAGGCTATTAACTGAGCAGGGGATAAGAAATCCTAAATTAAACAGAAGTGCAAACATTAGCTTAAACTTTACAGGAAGTGTTTACGAAAGCTGTGTAAGTAACATGCAGGGAGGTGGGATTAGGGCTGCACAAACGGTGATTTAACTCCTAAATGGCAGAAAATTAAGCAGTGAGACTGCAGGAGCATGATCTATAAACCAAAACTGCTTCATTAAGCTAAAGTTGTTTTGATGACTATCGTGTCCCTTTAAAAAAAAAAAAAAAAAAACCTCAACAGGCGAACATTAAAACAGAGGCACCACAGTTTCAAAATATTGCTGTCCACCTTTTGGATGTTTGGTAGAATAAATGTTGTCTTAAAACGAAGCCGTAGTGCAAGTAGCTTTATTTTATTTACTTCTCTGAAAGTGACAGTTCATCATTCCCTCACCCCAGAAAGGTTATTGAAGAGCTCCTGGGAGGATTAGTGTAATGGACTGTAGTTTATATTAGTGTAATGCACTGTCTGCAGCACTTCTCAAGCTTTGATGACATTCAAACCTGTTGCGTAAAGAACACTGAAGGCACAAGGTGGATGACTGCATCAAATAGTTTATCATGCAAAACAAAAGTCATACATTAAAGGACCTCTATAGGCACTCAGACCACTTCAGCTTAATGAAGTGGTCTGGGTTCCAGGTCCAGCTAGGATTGACCCTTTTTTTTTTATAAACATAGCAGTTTCAGAGAAACGGCTATGTTTGTTAGGGTTAATCCAGCCTCTAGTGGCTGTCTCTTGAAAATCACAGTGAGAAGACGCCAGCGTCCATAGGAAACCATTTCCTATGAGACTGGTTGAATGCACGCGCAGCTCCTGCCGCGCATGCGCATTCAACCGAAGAGAAGGAGAGCTCCCCGCCTGGCGCTGGAGAAAGAGGTAAGTTTAACCCCTTCCTCTACCCAGAGCCCGGCGGGAGGGGGTCCCTGAGGGTGGGGGCACTCTCAGGGCATTATAGTGCCAGGAAAACGAGTATGTTTTCCTGGCACTATAGTGGTCCTTTAATACAGTGAGGCCCACATGGAGTTGAATGTGAATTTTTTTTTCAACCATCTCACCTGTGTTAAATTTTCATTCCAACAAAAAGTGTATACATGTGAATGTGTCATCACACAAACACTTTGACAAATGCACCATCAGTCACTCCATTTCTATATTCCCTAGCCAGCGTTAGCAGCGTCAGCTTGGGAGCTACCATAGCAACTACAATGCCTGCTCTATGGTTGCTACGTGTGGAGAGCAGAAGGACTGCCTGCAGGAGGTCTTCTTGTCTGCTCTCCCATGTCAGTCAATTCTTCAACATACAGTCTATGCCGAAGAATTGACTGACAGGGAAAAAAAAAATATTTTTAAATAGGTTTTTCTCCCAATCTGTAAACTTAGTAGTGAATCTGTTCGCACAACATATAGAGATAGAATTGTATGCTCCTTAAAAATAGCATACCTTAAATAAGCACCCAGACCATTTCCTCTGGGTGCCATGTCAATAGTGCAGCTAAAAACATTTCCATTTTGCAGGAATGGCAATGTTTTCCTTGCCGGGTTAGCACATCTCTAGTGACTGTCAGGAAGACAGCTGCTTGAGGTGCTTCCTCTGTTCAACTTTAAAGCTCTAATGATTCTCATTGAGCGCTTTGATTGGCGCTGAGTTTTGCTGCGCATGCGCACAAGCCTCCAATTGCTTCCCTAATGGGAAGCATTGCATTGGGTGAGATCATAGAGACTGATGATATCAGGCAAAGAGGTGGAGCAGCAGCACGTAGAGCAGCGCACCGCACGATGTAAGTTAATTAAAACTTACTTTTTAGACCTGTGCAAAGGGGAGACACACCTACATAGGAGTTAGGAATAAATGGTTGTATTACAAACACTATAGTGTTCCTTTAAAATACTACAGTGACCCAGTAGTAAACAGGAAAAATCTTTAAATAATAATTAAATGGAAAGAATAACCGAAAAAGTGTTAATTTCTCTCCAAACAACAGAAAAGGAGTGTTCAGGAGTATCCTGGCGTCTCTCCCAGTAGTCAAGCTACACAGTTTCACCTGGGAACCACCAGATTCTGATCCCTGCCTGCATTACTTCCTTCAGAGAGCCAGAAGCTATTTATCTCCACTAAGCCTGGCAGCGCAGAGCTTAGCTCATTGGCTGAAAGCAGTAGATGGATGCTCTTAGACAATGAGCTAGCCAGGAGAGCTAACGGAAGCTCCTCAAGTGGTATCACGCAAAGCACTCAAGGTGAATCTTTTGTACCTTGCATGGCAGCTACAGGACGATATGGTGGGGACAAGATATGCAGCAGATTCAGATCATAATAATTACTACTTTTGGTTGGGAGCTCACTAACCAGACCACATGCTACCCTCCTAGACCGCCAGGAAGATTAACCCCCAACAAGCAACAAAAGAGCATATCTTTCCTCCCTGCTGAAAGCTCTGCACCAAGGAGGCAAAACAGTGTGCACAGAAAGATTCTGCCAGCAAACATCACACACACTACATACAGCCAGCGCAAACTGCAAGCTTATATTACACACCTGCGGCTTACACATACATACATTACACAGAGCCAGCACACACAAAAACATATATTGCATACAGCCTGCATGTGTACACACATACTATGGAGTGACACTTGGGGTTATTCCCTAAACCAGGTGTAGGTAACATTTTAGTAACAAAAAATACAGATAGAAGAATTGGTACAATATGTAAAATTGGTGCAATCACCTATATGGGTCACCTTTTAGTAGTATTATGCCAAAGTACTATATAGCGAACTAATAAAATGTCGTTTATAGTCAAAGGTTTGTTTATCTGCGATCTTTAAGTAACCACTGTTTTCTATGGTAAGCTGCAACACAGGACAAACTCCAACTCTAGGTTTAAAGGACCACTCTAGGCACCCAGACCACTTCAGCTTAATGAAGTGGTCTGGATGCCAGGTCCAGCTAGGGTTAACCCAATGGGTTAATCCAGCCCTCAAATCCTCTATTGGCTGTCTCATTGACAGCCGCTAGAGGCGCTTGCGTGATTCTCACTGTGAAAATCACAGTGAGAACACGCAAGCGTCCATAGGAAAGCATTGTAAATGCTTTCCTATGAGACCGGCTGAATGCGCGTGCAGCCAGCCGAAAGGGAGGAGAGGAGGAGAATCGGAGGCGGGGAGCTCCCTGCCCGGCGCTGGAGAAAGGTAAGTTTTAACCCCTTTCCTCTCCCCAGAGCCCTGCGGGAGGGGGACCCTGAGGGTGGGGGCACCCTCAGGAAACTATAGTGCCAGGAAAAAGAGTATGTTTTCCTGGCACTATAGTGGTCCTTTAAGCTTCTATTTGCTTTATCTCTTCAGCAAGTAAAAATAAAACAAGCACATAATCCCTTGCTCTTTCTTGAGCTCCGAATATACACAGAATTCTCGATCTACAGAGTGGCTTTCTTACTTTCTAACAAACAAAAGTAGCATGGTAGCAGGCCAGCTCCCTTGGCTGGAATATCAGACTCTGAGTGAATAGGCTGGTTTTACATACAGTTATGTTAATTAGGCAAGTAATTAGCAATTGGCTTCATATGCACAGACTACACTATTATTATTATTATTATTATTATTTATATAGCGCCAACAAATTCCGTAGCGCTGTACAATGGGTGGACTAACAGACACATAATTGAGATCAGACCACTGACGTACAGGAACAGAGGGGGTTGAGGGCCCTGCTCGATGAGCTTACATGCTAGAGGGAGTGGGGTATAGTGACACAAAGGGTTAAAGTAGGGGAATTAAATAGTTTGTTACAGAAGGGTTTATTGAGTGCTTGGTAGGTCATTTTGACAGGTGAAGGAACGGAGTCATGGGGTGGGGGATGAGAAACCTGTTGACAGTTTAATTGATACGCTTTAATAAAGAAGTGAGTTTTCAAAGATTTTTTTGAAGGAATGGAGGCTGGGTGAAAGTCTGATTGAGGAGGGAAGGGAGTTCCACAGAATAGGTGCAGCCCTGGAGAAGTCTTGAAGGCGAGCATCAGAGGTGGGGATCCGGGCAGAGGATAGGCGTAGGTCTTGGGCTGAGCGCAGGGGTCTCGTCGGGACATACTTGTGTATGAGGGAGGATAGGTATGTTGGAGCAGCATTATGTAGGGATTTGTAAGCAAGCGCCAGAATTTTGAATTGGGCCCTATATCTAACTGGAAGCCAATGCAGGGACTGACAGAGCGTGGAGGCGTGGGAGGTGCGACCGGACAGGAAAATAAGCCTCGCAGCCGTATTCATTATAGATTGCAGCGGTGCAAGCTGGGAACATGTAAGACCGGTGAGAAGGGGATTGCAATAGTCAAGGCGAGAGAGAACAACAGCATGAACCAGTACCTTAGCCGCGTCCGGCGTTAGATATGGGCGGATGCGCGCTATGTTCTTGAGTTGGAAGCGACAGGATTTGGCTATCGATTGAACATGGGGAGTAAAAGAGAGATCAGAATCAAAAAGAACTCCTAGGCAGCGAGCCTGGGAGGTAGAGGTGATAGTAGCGCCGTTGACTTGGATGGTGACAGACACAGGAGTAGCAGCACTTGAGGGAGGAAAAACTAGAAGTTCTGTTTTGGACAGGTTGAGTTTAAGGAAGTGAGCAGCCATCCAGTTGGAAATAGCAGAGAGGCAGTCAGAAACACGAGTCAAGGTGGGCGGAGAGAGATCAGGGGAGGACAGGTAGATTTGCGTGTCATCTGCATATAAATAACTATCAAGTGGAATGCCTTGCATTGATCCCCCCCCCCCATGGGAATTTAACACTTAGAAGGGAGAGGTAACATTTTTCAAAGGAGGTCTTATATACCTTTCATCAACAATTACTCCACATATTATTTTTTTCTGTCTCTCTATCTCTATATATAGTATTTAACCAGGAAAGGTACATTCAGATAGTCTCTGGTTTCCAAGTACGTCCTGGAGACATATGTTACTTTTGCCCAACATCCATTGGATGTTTCTATTGCACAATTTAATGATAATGTATATATATTTTTTTTTAAGCAATTATTTTGTTATATTTTTAAATTTCCACATCAGTTAGCTATTTTAACCTAAACTAAATCATTTGGTTTTTCACTTCCCTCTTTTTTAGCGAATAAACTAGTTTGCATTTTTCCTTCCTTAGTTTGTTTCTGTGTATAAAGTCCACCAGTTCTCATTGCATGACTGAATAGTACAGTGCAAAGAATGTCTCTCTGTTAAAACTTGCATATGTCAGCATATTCTCATCGTAATAGAGGAAAAGAAACAGACCTTTGACCTTTACTGTATTACTTTGGACCGCTAGCCTGTCAGAGCTTTTGCATTGCAACTACCAGAAAATTGTAGTGCAGACACTTAATACAGACCATTAATTAAAGGAACACTCCAGACATTTGCTAAAAGAACTAAACTGGCTGTCGCTGGAATCCAGATGCACCCTTCATCTTTCCAGCCTTGTGTTAAGAGCTTTTCTGGGAAGCTCCCATCCTACCTGAGCAGAATGCTCTCCACAGCTGTTCCCACCTCCAATCCAGTACCTGCACTTTATTTAGTCTACCTCAATACAAAAAGAAAACGTCTTAATCCTCCTTTTTCCTGTACAGCACCGCAATTATGGAACGACTTCCCGCACACTTCAAATTCTTCCCCAAGCCTAAAGTCCTTTAAGAGATCCCACTCTACATATCTCAAAACATAATGCACCTGTTATGGTCGATTTTATATATTTCTTATCTGTTCTTTGTTAAATGTTGTATATATTGTGTATTAAAGGATCACTATAGGGTCAGAAACAAAAACATGTATTCCTGACCCTTTAGTGTTAACACCATCATCTAGCCTCCCTGGGCCCCTCATGCCTCCATAAATATATTAAAAATCTTACTGTATTCAAGCCTGAAGCTGTAAATCTGCATGCTGTTAGACTCAGAAAAACAAGCAGTCTGCTGACATGTGGTAGCCTGATCCAATCACAGTGCTTCCCCATAGAATTGGCTGAGACTGACAAAGAGGCAGATCAGGGGCAGAGCCAGCATGATTCAAACACCACCCTGGCCAATCAGCATCTCCTCATAGAGATGAATTGAATCAGTGAATCTCTATGAGGAAAGTTCAGTGTCTGCATGCAGAGGGAGGAGATACTGAATCACAGGATGCTGTGCACAGTGCTGCCCTGTGCTCTGCTGACAGCAGATCTGAGTGGATTGAGGCATATTATGCCTCCATCAACTCTGAAGTCCCTCTGGTTCACTCTGAGTGACTTCAACTGGAGGTGTTCCTAGCTTTCTCAGAAAATACAGTGTTTACATGAGAGAGGCTGCAGGGAGCTATAGTTCTCACCTGAACAACCTCATTAAGCCGTTCAGGTGACTCCATGTAAACAGCACTTCCATAGGTGACTTTAAAGAATTCTATAGGAAAAAAAACTTGCCTTGGTGCAACTCCCAATGCATCCAAAATATAGAATAACGTAATCCAGGATGCAATCACAGGTCTTGAATTAGAATGTGATTTATTATATAAAGGTTACATACAGTTGATTGATCGACGTTTCAACCCTCCTAGGTCTTAAGATATATATATATATATATATATATATATATATATAGATATATATATTCCACACACACAGAATGTGTAACCTTGGCACTCACCCCTTTAAAGTTATTTGATAAACTTGCCTCGGTGCTCCCTTTGCGCAATAATATATTGAAAAGAGAATAGGTGCACTCGCAGGTCTTTTTTCAAAGTTTTTCTTTTATTTCAAATCACATATACATTTTTCGATCAGAGACCTGCGAGTGCACCTACTCTCTTTTGAAAAAAAGAAAAAAAAAATTATATATATATATATATATCATTTTACATAATTATTAGATTTTATTATTTATAATTTGAAGGACCTGCCTGACAACCCAGGCAGACAGTCCAGAGAATTTAATTGGCAAGCCCTATATTTAACCCCGTAACTTTCCAAAACACCATAAAACCTTTACATGAGGGGCATTGTTATACTCGGGAGACTTCGCTGAACACAAATAGGGGTGTTTTAAAAAGTAAAACATATCACCAGTAAAAGTGCAGTTTTTGTTTTTAAAAAATGCGAAAAAACAAATAAAAACGCTAACTTTCGCCAGCGTTCGTGACTGGCTACTACAAAAGACTTAGCCCATTTTGAATACCTTGGTTTGTCTATATTTGCAAATGATGTGCCATGATGGGGTTAATTCCCCACAGACACATGCTGGAGGATGTGCGGGGAGAGATGGAGTTACATACATATGTGGTGGCAATGCCCCAAAGTAAACGAATACTGGGTAAAGGTGGTGGGACTGAGATCCCAAATCTTACAGAGGAACCTCATGCTCAACCCCCTCGACCTTCCTTCTTTCCAGACATACCGAGGGTTTAAACAGACATGAACGGAAACTACTTAAAGGACCACCTCACGCTCTAGGGTGAGGAAGGGGTTAAACTTACCTCTTTCTCCAGCGCCGGGCGGGGAACTCTCCTCCTCCTCCTCTCCGCCTCCTATTCAGCTGAATGTGCATGCGCGGCAAGAGCCGTGCGCGCATTCAGCCAGTCCATAGGAAAGCATTCACTGAAACTGCTATGTAGGGAGTGCAGAATTATTAGGCAAGTTGTATTTTTGAGGATTAATTTTATTATTGAACAACAACCATGTTCTCAATGAACCCAAAAAACTCATTAATATCAAAGCTGAATATTTTTGGAAGTAGTTTTTAGTTTGTTTTTAGTTTTAGCTATGTTAGGGGGATATCTGTGTGTGCAGGTGACTATTACTGTGCATAATTATTAGGCAACTTAACAAAAAACAAATATATACCCATTTCAATTATTTATTATTACCAGTGAAACCAATATAACATCTCAACATTCACAAATATACATTTCTGACATTCAAAAACAAAACAAAAACAAATCAGTGACCAATATAGCCACCTTTCTTTGCAAGGACACTCAAAAGCCTGCCATCCATGGATTCTGTCAGTGTTTTGATCTGTTCACCATCAACATTGCGTGCAGCAGCAACCACAGCCTCCCAGACACTGTTCAGAGAGGTGTACTGTTTTCCCTCCTTGTAAATCTCACATTTGATGATGGACCACAGGTTCTCAATGGGGTTCAGATCAGGTGAACAAGGAGGCCATGTCATTAGATTTTCTTCTTTTATACCCTTTCTTGCCAGCCACGCTGTGGAGTACTTGGACGCGTGTGATGGAGCATTGTCCTGCATGAAAATCATGTTTTTCTTGAAGGATGCAGACTTCTTCCTGTACCACTGCTTGAAGAAGGTGTCTTCCATGAACTGGCAGTAGGACTGGGAGTTGAGCTTGACTCCATCCTCAACCCGAAAAGGCCCCACAAGCTCATCTTTGATGATACCAGCCCAAACCAGTACTCCACCTCCACCTTGCTGGCGTCTGAGTCGGACTGGAGCTCTCTGCCCTTTACCAATCCAGCCACGGGCCCATCCATCTGGCCCATCAAGACTCACTCTCATTTCATCAGTCCATAAAACCTTAGAAAAATCAGTCTTGAGATATTTCTTGGCCCAGTCTTGACGTTTCAGCTTGTGTGTCTTGTTCAGTGGTGGTCGTCTTTCAGCCTTTCTTACCTTGGCCATGTCTCTGAGTATTGCACACCTTGTGCTTTTGGGCACTCCAGTGATGTTGCAGCTCTGAAATATGGCCAAACTGGTGGCAAGTGGCATCGTGGCAGCTGCACGCTTGACTTTTCTCAGTTCATGGGCAGTTATTTTGCGCCTTGGTTTTTCCACACGCTTCTTGCGACCCTGTTGACTATTTTGAATGAAACGCTTGATTGTTCGATGATCACGCTTCAGAAGCTTTGCAATTTTAAGAGTGCTGCATCCCTCTGCAAGATATCTCACTATTTTTGACTTTTCTGAGCCTGTCAAGTCCTTCTTTTGACTCATTTTGCCAAAGGAAAGGAAGTTGCCTAATAATTATGCACACCTGATATAGGGTGTTGATGTCATTAGACCACACCCTTCTCATTACAGAGATGCACATCACCTAATATGCTTAATTGGTAGTAGGCTTTCGAGCCTATACAGCTTGGAGTAAGACAACATGCATAAAGAGGATGATGTGGTCAAAATACTCATTTGCCTAATAATTCTGCACTCCCTGTAGAAAAAAGGGATAACCCTAGCTGGACCTGGCACCCAGACCACTTCATTAAGCTGAAGTGGTCTGGGTGCCTATAGTGGTCCTTTAACATGGTCTATCTGGCAGCCAGACGAGACTTAGCTCAGAAATGGTTGAGCCCAGAGCTGCCCCCCACTGTCTCTAGTTATAGCCAAAATAATAGATAACTATCTAATGGACAAACTGACGGCACAGGTGCGACACAGTCAAAACCTTTCAAAAGGTGTGGGAACAATGTGTGGTCTAGAACAGTAGGGAAGGGCACTACCGACACATGAGACACTACACGGGTGGGGGGGGAGGTGCCACAGCAATGATATTGTCAGTGAAAGTGAAGATTTTTCACACACAAACGGCACTTTCACTGATATCATTGTTGTGATACGTTTTACAGTTTTGAAACACTAATATGTGTTCAGCGAAGTCTTCTGAGTATAACAATACCCCCCATGTACAGGTTTTATAGTGTTTTTAAAGGTTACAAGGTCAAATATAAAGCTTGATTTTCCGTTTTTTCACGTTGAAATTTGCCAGATTGGTTATGTTTATGAAGACAACCCAGGGTATTTCAAATAAGGTATGTTCAGTCTTTTTTAGTAGCTACTAAGTCACAAACACTGGCCAAAGTTAGCGTTCATAATTGTTTTTTGCATTTTTAACACACAAACAAATATAAATGCTAACTTTGGCCAGTGTTTGTGACTACTTAAGAGAACTGGACATACCCCATATTGAATACCCTGGGTTGTCTACTTTGAAAATATATGTTCATATGAGGTGTGATTCAGAGATTTGACAGATAAGTGTTACAATGTTGTCACTATTGATACATTTGAAAAATATATATTTTGAAAAGGCAATGTCCTACTTGTGTTTATAGCCCTGTAACTTTCCAAAAAAGCTAAGAACATGTTAACATTGGGTATTTATAATTTCAGGACAAAATTTAGGAACTATTTTGCATGGATGTTTTTTGGGGGTCAAAGTTAGAAACAGTGTGGGGTTTTTTTTTCCCATCATATTTTATAAAAGATTTTCATAGTAAATTATGTGATATGATGAAAATAATGGTATCTTTAGAAAGACCATTTAATGGCGAGAAAAACGGTATATGATATATGTAAGTAAGTGTAAGTGGAAAACTTACTTGGGTTCCTTCTGCGCCCACTTCTGCAACCGTGCTTCTGCATTATTTTTGTAGGAGAATCTGGTTTAGCAGTTCATTGACTTAAAGTCTTAGCTCAGTAAAAACATCTGACTTTCCCTGGATGCTGGGTAGACTAAATGCTACTAAATAATCCATGAAGGACTCATTAAGACTGAATTATTAGTGTGAGTTTAAATGTAGAGACACTGGAATTAAGGTAGTTGGGGGGTTGGGATGCTCAAGCAAGTGGCATGTCCACCAATCCACAAGGGCATAGGAGTGGTGGAAACTGGCATAGCCCCGTAAATTATTAGATTATAGAGCTCTTACTGTGCTTCCTTTATAGTTACAGAAAGTTATATTATTCATGTATTTTCATGAATGCAGCTACATGACTTCCCCAGACATTCTATTATATTTAAGAGAAAACAGGACAAGGATTAACTGAAAAATATCTGGTACTTACCGTTTCCTGCAGACAAGGTAAATTCAGAGGTGAATCTCAGATTTATGTATGTATTTTCAATTCTTTTTTTTTTTTTTAGTGCATCAGCTCCATAATGAACCTAATGGGATTAACTCCAGCCCATTAGTCTTGTGAGACTTTTCAGTACTGCGGTAGTGCGTATTCTGAGCATGACATGTTTCTTTACATTTTACAGTATACTGTAGCTGGAATATAGTATGAGTAGAAAACGTATACCTTCATAGTAGCATGCAGTCACTGTAATGCTGGAATACTCCTGGTGTATCTGGAATTGCTTAACACTGTGTCTGTACTTGAACTTTTTTTCTAAATTATTTTTACACACTGATGACTTGAGGGTTTTTGGTTTGTTAAAAAAAATTGTCATTTCACAAACATCTGACACTGCTTAACCACTACACATCCTCAGTACATGGCCTTATTGTAAATTTGTTATCAAAGTATGTATATGTAAGATGCCAACAGCTATTTTATAAACGCCACTCACTAGTCTATCATTGTATATCCAAACCACTTGGCGCACTTGCATGACAAGCTGCAACTTATCGTATCGCAGGCATTACCCAGATGGAACCCATATCTTCTTTTTTCTGTTATAAAAATAACATAGCATCACTTAAAGGACCACTCTAGGCACACAGACCACTTCAGCTTAATGAAGAGGTCTGGGTGCCAGGTCCAACTAGGGTTAACCCATTTTTTTCATAAACATAGCAGTTTAAGAGAAACTGCTATGTTTATGAATGGGTTAAGCCTTCCCCCATTCCCTCTAGTGGCTGTCTCATTGACAGCCACTAGAGGCACTTGCGTGCTTCTCACTGTGATTTTCACAGTGAGAGCACGCAAGCGTCCATAGGAAAGCATTATGAACTACGTCTCCCATGATACCCTTACTATCTGTGTCATTGAAAGGATCATTTTAGTTTTATTTCAGAGGTGAGCATTATGAATGCTTTCCTATGTGACCGGCTGAATGCGCGCGCAGCTCTTGCCGCGCGTGCGCATTCAGCCGACAAGGAGGATCGGAGGAGGAGAGGTCCCCGCCCAGCGCTGGAAAAAGGTAAGTTTAAACCCCTTTCCCCCTTCCAGAGCCGGGCGGGAGGGGGACCCTGAGGGTGGGGGCACCCTCAGGGCACTATAGTGCCAGGAAAACGAGTATGTTTTCCTGGCACTATAGTGGTCCTTTAAGACAAAGATTTTATCCATGCATCTTTAAAATATTACCTAGGTGGCAGAATCTAATTCAGCTTTTACAATAAATAAATGCTCCTCATCATAGCACCCTTGTAGCCTTTTAAAATTGCATAAATATTTAATATGACAGATTATTTTTGACAAGCAAATGGACCGTAAATTGGTAATAGATACAGATAGATTATCTTGTTAAGCAGTGATAACATTTTGTACTTGTCTCATTTATTGTAATTTCCTACTCCTATAATATTGTAAAGTGCGGCTAATTGTTTTTAAGTTTCTCTGGGTTCCAGAGTCGGTAAAATTGTATAAATTAATAGGATTTTCAAGTATTTCACTTATTTTTTTATTCACTATTAATTTTTTATTATTCCTTTGTTTCAGCTATATATAGGATAAGAAGAGAGTGCTTATAAAACTAAATGTGTTGATTTTTTTTTTTTTTTATTATTTCCAATCTGCTGCTGTTGGCTAAAATTTGAAATTTGTTTTATAGAAAAACATTGAATGTGTGTCTCATTGATATGTTATTTTTTTTTTGTAAATAACAATTTTTTAGTTATACTAGATTAGAAACAGTAATTCACAAGTATTATAAAGTACTGATAAATAAAAGCAGAGTGGTATATATGTGTAGTCCTGTTGCAAAATAGTAGAACCGTCTAAACCAACTGAAAAAAAGACAAAAGATAATGAAAAGTAGTGCAACTTAGTCGGGATGCAAACTGTTAAGGATCTTTTATACTTTGAGGAATTCCTTGTGGTGTAATGAAGGATGAAGGGATATCTGACAATGTTTGGCTAGTGGAAGCAATGCTCCTTCAAAAGGGCACAATGTGTGGACATTCCCGTCACATGTGAATAAATCCACTCTAAGATCCTTGGCATCTCCAGCATTGGATTTTTGGCCTACAGGCGCAAAGGTGTTGTTACCAAATGAAGAGAACCTTATAGGTGGACATGGCATATAAGATGCCATGTGGTAATTGGTCAGAGGTCAGAATATCAAAAGGTGAGAGGTTGTCATGAAAGTGTGTGAGGTTTGGCACATCAATGTGTGCAATGGAAGGATCTTATCATTATTGGCTAGATGGGCTACCTAGTGAAACCATGAAAAGAGGACTAATCACTGGCATTCAAAAAAATCTAGGTTATGAACCAGGCATAGGGCAATGTGCGGATCCCCCAACTTTAGAAGGGTCATATTGGTATACTCAATAACTCTGAGCAGGTGACTGGCATGATAATAAAGTATGAAGTCTTGGATTGCTAGTCCTCACCTGGTCTTGGTCATTGTCAGCTGCAAAACCCTCTACTTGTGTTTAGAGCCCTTCCAGACAAATCTAATCGATAATGTACGTGATGTGAAAAAGGCTTTTTGAAGTAAAATATTTATCGGGAGCGCTTAGAAAAGGTCAAGATTCTGAGTATGTTAAATTTTTTTACACAACCCAGCCTGTTAATGCGTAACAGCATCCAATCAAAATTCTTATGTAAGGAATAAAATGAACACTATAGCATTAAGAATGCAAATGTGTCAGGGATAAAGCAGAGCATCACACCGCAGCACAGGCGAAAACTAAGCAAAACTCAGCTGGAACTGGGCCCACAAAAAGGGACTCCATGCAGACCACTGAGACTACTTACCCACAATGGCCAACCCCGAGGGGGGCACCTACCATGCCGCACAAGTGCACATAGCACCCAAGAGACTCACAGGGCAGGCATCGGCTGACCACAGAAGACCCCACAAGCTGAGGCCCAGACAACTCTCCCGGGCCCCGTAGTGGATTTCTGAGCAACAGCACTGACTCTCTGGGCACCGGGCTATACTGCCTCACAGACTCCTCTCTCCCTATAAAACCGCATATGCTGTTGGCGTGCTATGAGTTGGAAGCGTAAGCTCAAGTGAAGTCCTACTCACACCCTGATCTGCCAGGCAAAACAAATAGTTTAACATTAATTTAACACTGTTTCTCTTTTTCCTTAACATGCTACATAGGCAAGTAACTTACAACACTAGCCTGCTTCACATAAGTTAGCGACACTTTACTATACTTCAATCACCATGCCTAGCTAGCCTCCCTGAGTTAACTTAAATGTATATTCCAACTTGGACATGTGGAACTAGCCTGCTCCCTCTCGAGATTTAACTTAATTTTACTCCACTGTCGTCTAGCTTAGCGCACTTATAACTACATTTACTGCATAACCATGTGTAGCCAGAATCTAGGAAGGGAGTGTTTAACCCAGTCTACCCCAGTTACATACTGCCTCGCCCTAGCCTGATTGTTACCCCCATTATCAACGAAGTTATTTTATGTTATGGAAGAGACTAAGTAATGATAATACACACTGTTTATTACGCGACGTAATCATATATATGTATAAAAATGTGCTAGCCTTAACAAGTACCTCTATGCCTTACTGTTTGAAATGCGCTAGAGGATTGCCTTTGGGGTACCTCACAAGCGACTGTTAAAAACTTACGCACTACAAAAAAAAAATAAAAAAAAAATAAATAAAAAAGAATGCAAATGTGTATTCCAAACCCTATAGTGCCCTAATTATCGTTAAAACGGTGGGTTATATTTGCCTTTACTCCTTTTAGCTCTGGTCTCTGGCATTCTGCCCCGCTTCTTTATCGGAGATCATTGAGATTGATAATCTAAGCCAATCAAATGCTTTGGCAAAACGTTGTGCTGCGCCAATCAGAAGGTCTCTATGAGCACATCTGTAGGCGTGAAGTGATCTGGGTGTCTATAGAGCACTTTTAAACATGGGGAAGAATTCAGTTTCGTACAAACTGGATACATTTTTAGTGAGCCAAGTATTGGTTGAATTATGTTGTTAAAATTAAACAGATAGATCGGATTGGCACATACTTCAGTAGATGAACATTTAAAATGGTAGATTTGGAAAAGTTAATCTTTAGGTGAGATAGTATGCCATGTATCTTGAATTCTGTCATTACCCAGTAAGAAGTTTCTTGGTTCAGAATAAAAAAATAAAATGAAAAAAGTCATCAGCGTAAGCTGCCCCCTTATGTTCGATCGAATTTAATGAAGAAAGGGTTTGATGGCAAGGACAAAGAGCAGCAGTGAAAGATACACCCCTGTTCAGTCCCATTGCTCATTGGAAAGATCTGTATATACATCATTTACACAGAATGTAGCTCTAGGTGAAAAGTATAGGGATCTTATCCATTCAAACATTGTGAACTTTTTTTTATAGGAATTTTGTGAATGGTTTTTATATCTAAGATTTAACACATAGTAAAATAGCCTTTTATTGATACAAATTTTAATCTGATAGGTTTCTGAAATAGTCAGATTTAACCGTTTTATATGCACTTTGTTTTGCACAGATTCTAAAAATGTCAGGTGAATTATCTCTAAATATTAACATCAAGGAACCGCGCTGGGATCAGAGCACCTTCGTTGGAAGGGCCAAGCATTTTTTTACAGTCACTGATCCGAGGAATATCCTTCTGCCCGATGAACAGCTGGAGCACGCAAGGCAGATCGTTCACGACTACAGGTACAGACTGCTACACAGTAATATGCATAAACTCTCTTCCTTGTTATTGGAACGAGCATTCCATAAACGAATCAAATATAAGTCTAAGGTGTCAGTCATTCTCAATAGAAGAATGCACATTTCTCAATGAAAATGGGAAATGATCAAAATGTCTATGCTTTTATTTATCCATTTGCTTAAAGTGTGCCTATTCTGGTACATGCCACTAATGTTTAATGCTAGGAAATGTATAGATTTTAATTACACCTTAAAGGGACACTATAGGCACCCAGACGACTTCAGCTTATTAAAGTGGTCTGGGTGCATTGCCACGGTCTATCAATAACTGCAATAATTAAAGAGGTTAATTCAATTTTGTATTTCTAGCACTATAGTTTCCCTTTAAAATATGTGACCAACCTTCCCTCATCCAACTCAGTATGGACCCTTGGGGTGAGTGAACATTCCACACTGTATGTTTAATGCTTCCATATGACAGATTTAAATGAAGAGTCATTATGGAACTTCCATAACAATCAGAAAAAAAGTTAATAGTGTAACTTGGCTGCTGAGATTGTGGCTAATCCGCAACCACGGTGTGTTTGTCCTCATATGTACTGTTAGAGTAAAGCTCGCAGTGATCCTACTAGCTATTATCAGAATGAAAATAAGAATATGTCCGTTTTAGTCCTCATCAATGATTTTAATTCATAATGGATTCTGTGGCAACCTTGTAAGTTCCTGGTTTACCCAGGGGCATTGACCTTCAGCGTGCATAAGGCCAAGTGTGAGAGCTAATAGTGTTATCAAAAAGTAAACTTTGGGAAAATGTTTGTCACATTGTAATGTTTATCTTGTAACAAGTAGTAATGCAGTGCCAGCATTTAAATGGGATATGCAGGTTTTATATCTAATTTTATTCCCTGAGTCTTAGTTTATCTATGAGACTTTTTAGTTTGCATCTTTTATGATATCAGGCTATCAAGTGTTTAACTGTACTGCAGTAATCAGTAAAATGCTGAGTGATATCTTTAGTTATCCACATAAGGTCAATCGCACCACTTCTGTTTCTATTCTATACAAGGCAGGGCATTGTGAACCCAACACTCACTGAAGATGAACTATGGAGAGCAAAATATGTGTATGATTCAGCATTCCACCCAGACACTGGTGAAAAGATGATATTAATCGGAAGAATGTCTGCTCAAGTACCAATGAATATGACGATCACTGGCTGTATGATGACTTTCTACAGGTAAGAAATTATACTGATGTCCGTGAAGGCTGCATGTGGTTGTCTTACAAGGAAAGCATTACCACAATCATGCAATTTGCTTATCATGATTGTTACCTGCGTAGTTGGATCAGACCAAAAGCTTAACATTGACTGTAAAGTTTTGACCTTTGGGTCTTGTCGACATGGATTTCTGACTTTAAAATGACTTTAAAGAGACACTATAGTCACCAGAACATCTACAGCTCATCGTATTTTTTTTTTTTCTGGTGAGTATGATCATTCCCTGCAGGCATTTTTATGTAAACAGAGAAAAGGCAGTGTTTACATTGTCCCATAGGGATACCTACAGTGGCCATCTGAGGAGTGCTCACTGGAGGTATCCCTAGGGGGCAATGTAAATACTGCCTTTTATTTGGCCACTGAAGGTGTTTCCGGCCATTCAGCGTCTTCACGCTTTGCATGGAGACACTGACTTTTCCTCATGATTTAATGTATCTCTATGAGAAAATGCTGCTTGGTCAAGCCGGTGTTTGGTCCAGCCTCCTTGTTGATTTCAGCCAATCCAATGCTTTCCCTAAATGCTGATCAGCAAGGGGGGCGGAAATAAGGTAGGTTCTCCTACCTTTTAACGGGGCTAAGGGGGGACAAGCCACCTAAATGGTGGTTTTCACACTATAGGGTCATGAATACATGTTTGTGTTCCTGATCCTATAGTGTTCCTTTGAGGTCAAAGTAGTCGCAGCTGGAAGAATAGTGGATTTGGCAGTTTTAACTAGCTTGGCTATTCAATTAACAACAATGTTCATCATAATGAATAACCCTGTAAATTATATATTCACATTAATCAATGGCAACTCTTAACACAGCATTTTCAGTACTTAATAACTCCAGCAACATCAGAATAAGCACCATGCCGACGAGACTCGTAATTGAAGTGTACTGTAGTTCTTTTGCTTGCGTTCTCTCTACTTTCTGCTCTTTTGCATCTTTCACTTTCAGAACCATTTTATGCTAATTACGCCACCCTGCCCCCCTTTCCCCATCACACCAATAATAGACACGAATAGGGAGCTGTGATGCCTCTGCTATGCTATACATGGTATATGTGTGTCATGGCGTGTGTGTGTCTGTCTGTCCTTCATGATGTGTTTGTTTAGGTTACCAGACCCCTTCCGTTCACAAGGGAATTATGTTTTATTCACTTTTTAGTTTTTTACGCCATGCTGGTCTCCCCTCAACTGGCCCTGCCTCTATGGCTGAGATTATCAAGCTATATGATCTCAACTAATCCAATGTTTTGCCATAAGATTGTCTGCAAAACGCTGCAGCAATCAGCATCTCCTCATTGAGATGCATTGAATCAATGCATCTCTATGCGGAACGTTCACCTACTATGCAGGAAGCACCTCTAGTGACCGTCTGAGTGACTGTCACTAAAGGTGTCACTAGGAAGCAATGTAAACACTGCCTTTTCTCTGAGCCTCACATCCAGCCTGTTGTCAAATCCTGCCAATGCCACCTTAAAAATATTGCCTGCATCCACCCCTTTCTTACGCAAGACGCTACACAGGAGCTTGTCCATGCTCTAGTAATCTCTTGCATGGATTATTGTAACTCTCTCCTAATTTGTCTTCCCATTATCTGTACTGCCCCACTACAGTCTGTACTGCTCTCCCCTCTATCAGTCCTTACATTGGCTTCCTGTGTCCTATAGACATCAATTCAAAGTACTAATTCACATCTATAAACACTGAACAATTCTTGCCCCTCCTATATCTCTTCGCTGATCCATGGTATGCCCCTTCTCGGCTTCTCCTCTCTGCCCATGACCTTCTCTTGTCCGCTGCTCACACCGTATGGCCAACTCACGCTCACCAGACTTCTCACGGGCGTCTCCTTTCCTTTGCAATAGCCTGCCTACGCCCATCAGACTCTCACCTGGTCTTCGATCATTTAAAGGACCACTATAGGCACCCAGACTACTTCAGCTCAGTGAAGTGGTTTGGGTGGTTTTAACCCTTCAGATGTAAACATAGCAGTTTCAGAAAAACTGCTATGTTTACACTGCAGGGTTAATCCAGCCTCTAGTGGCTGTCTTCCTGACAGCCACTAGAGGCCGCCGCGATTTACACAGAGTAAATCACACTTATTTGACGCTGGACGTCCGCACAGAGTCCAGCATCAAAAAAGATCCCCATAGGAAAGCATTTTCTATGTGCGCGTTTGAATGCGTGCACGCCTCTGGCCACGCATGCGTATTAGGCTCCACGCGGGAACTGACGTCAATGGAGGAGGAGAGGTCACCAGTGCCGAGGGAGCCCAGCGCTGGATTAAGGTAAGCAAATAAATGGTTAATTTACCATTTATTCGCCACGCATCGGGGCTCTAGTCACCTAAGCGGTGACTAGGGCTCTATAGCATTAGGAACACATATTTGTATTCCTAACGCTATAGTGTTTCTTTAAGAAGTGCCGCAAAACCCATCTCTTCAGGAAAGCTTTTGGCCTGCAACAGTAAGCTCTACCTCACATACCTGTCCTTTGCTCTTTCCTAAAGTGCAGAACTCCACTCTCTCCTCCAGATCTGCTTCATTCCCACCTTGTTAGACTGATTTTTCCTGTCCTATTGTGTTTTATACCCCACCTCCTCTAGACTGTAAGCTCATTTGAGTAGGGTCCTCTTCAACCTATTGTTCCGGTAAGTTTTTGTAATTGTCTCATTTATTATTAAATCTCCCCCTCTAATAATATTCTGAATTGCTACGGAATATGCTGGCACTATATGAATAACAATAATATTCATGTAATTTTTCTTTTATAATTTTTCTTCACTTGTGGAAATATAGATTAGTAATTTGCATGTTTTTAAATATAGGTTACTTTTGTGCTAAATATATTGAATTAAATTGGGCATGGTAGAGACATTCTCCATTTTCTTCATACAAATTGGTACATTTTTAGAATGTGTGTTGAATACGTTTGAAAAATAACTTCTAAAATAAGCAATTTTTTACTTAGACGGGTTATAAGCTGGTTATAAAAAAAGTGCTGCCTATTACAATATATATTTACACACATACATTTTCCTTTTCAAATTGTATTTATTCAATTTCCACAATAGATTCTTGTATTTAATGTAGATTATCTTGTTTTCAGCTTGCTAGAGAAACCAGAAAATGTATACATCTGTCAAAAGATTCTTATAAAATGGCTAGACTTTGCAGATGTGAATTCTGCTAGAACACAGATGTCCAAATCCAGCCTTTCAAGCGACTGCCTATTAGCCACGTCAAAAGAGCCTGTAAATGCTATCTGCTGTTTTTTCCATTTTTAGAACAACACCAGCCGTGGTCTTATGGCAGTGGATTAACCAGTCCTTTAATGCCATTGTTAACTACACGAACAGAAGTGGCGATGCTCCCATCACTGTAAGGTAGGAATGATGCATACTACTGAATCATGTGGCCTCATATTGTACTTTTAGGCCTTATCCCGGAATACTGACTTGCGCAGCGTTACCTCTTTGGATTCTTGCCCTTTGCAGAAAGGCTAAAAGGTGACCTAAAAATGATAATGCTGAGTGACATGTCATGAAAAGTAAAACTGTGTGCAAAGTTAAGAATGAGCAGATCATTTGTACCTATATGCACGCTAGTTTTCATTTTATGTAATATATTCTACTATGGTTTAAAGGACCACACTGCAAAAAAATTCTAATTTCTTTTTTCTTTTTTTTTCTTTTTTTTTAAGTGAACATCGCTGTTTAGTAGATATATCCCCAATGGATACATGCATGTGCATCAAGTCTGAACAGAATAGGGGAGCAAGTAGAGCACACTTGCCATTTCCGTTTGCTCAAGGGAGTTAACAGAAGGGGGGTGCAACCTCCCTTGCTGCTTGAGTGTCAGTCAAGGACATAACTTAAAGAGACACTATAGGCACCCAGACCACTTCAGATTATTAAACTGGTCTGGGTGCAGTGTCCCAGGTTCCTTAAGCCTGCAACGGTAATTATTGCAGTTTTTAAGGAGCAGATGCGGAGCCTGAACCAGCACTGAGGGACATCAGTGTTGGAATTAGGTACACATGGAGGGGGGGCGCTATAGTGCCAGAAAAAAAAAAACTTTGTTTTCCTGACACTAAAGGTTCCCTTTAATTATAGACATGCAGATTTCTCATGGAACTTTGCACTTTTATTGATTGGAGGTACAATATGATGCTCCTCATCTATAAAGCTGAAGTGCTTTATTTGTGTGGAGTGTTTTGGTTTTTTTTGTTAATCAGTATTGGAATAGTTTAGTTCTGTTGATTAACTTCGGGCTGCTTTGAGTCTTCTGTTGTCTTTTTCCTTCATACTTTTTTCTGTTTTGTATTCTAAGGAAAGACGTACAAAATGCTGATTTCAGATCCCAGTACTCTTTGTTCTTTCTTCCCCTTCTGCGCAAGTGTTTGGGTTCAATTTTTAATGAAACCGATAGAACCATTCCATTGTATTTTTTTCGTATTATAAAAAAATGTTACCTATGAGATTATACGCAGTTTATTTTTCTAGAGATAAGTAAAATATTAGTTATTGTACATTTTCCATGCATGAGAGAATTACAGTTTGTGCCTTAACTTGTCATTTGTCCATCCACATGTTTGTCACTAACATTTTGGGGAGTTAAGGGGGTATTGAACACTGGCAATTAAATATATATTTATAATCGCATATAGTAAGTTTCATGTTTGGAATGCTATCATTTCACCACGTGTCCGTTATCTAGTAGCCTGTGAGACTTTTAAAGGCAATAAATAATTTCCTAGAGTACTCTCAGGCATAGTCATAGCGGGAACTATATATTTATTTATTACAACCATGGCATGTAACTGAGTGTCTGGTCACACAGACACCTGTCTAGGTTTTACTATGGGGAAAGGGAAATGCTCTATAGCCAGCTCTGATCAGGATCACTAATTTATGCTGAATTTATGACGTACCATAGAAATGGAGATGGAATACTTGTGCCAATTTATGAGGGTCTTTGCTATTATAGGTAATAGACTTAAACCCTTTTTAAGACTACATATTTTACCCATTTACAATGCCCTATGGGGCATTACTATTGGGTCTCCAGCCCCTCAAACCTTGTAAAAATGATTTAAAATGTACATGATGTCCAGCTGGTCTCCACTCCCACCACTGATGTCAGCTCTGCACTTGCACGGTCCAATCATTGGCTTCTTATAGAGAAGCCTGTGATTGGACTCTTTCACTGGATCAGAGTGCATGCACACACTCCGAGCTGGGGTGGGAGGGAGATAAAAATAAATATTTATATATATATATATATATATATATATATATATATATATATATATATATATATATATATATATATATATATATATATGTATATGTATATGTATCGATAAGATGGAGCACTCAAAAGGACTTCAACACGGTGTATTTATTGTGACGAAAAGTTTACAACATAGTGCAAATAATTCTGATCAGAATTATTTGCACTATGTTGTAAACTTTTCGTCACAATAAATACACCGTGTTGAAGTCCTTTTGAGTGCTCCATCTTATCGATTTATCTATATTTTGGACGTCGGAAGCACCAAAGGCAGTTGTATTGGGAATACTTCAGGGGTGAGTGCCTGAATTAATAAATAATAAATATATATATATATATATATATATATATATATATATATATATATATATATATATATATATATATATATTATGTATGTATATTATCTCTATCATTTTTTTTTTTTTTCTTATTTTTTTTTCTCATGTAAGCAGGGGGAGTACACACAATGAGGGAGGTGAAAACTATATTCCACATGCAGGCATGGCTATTATTACATCTGTTGCCAGCACATAAATGACAGATGTGTTTTATGCACAGAATTGACATTCGCCAGTGTGAAACAGTGTTCTGGGCTGCCTAAGTCACATGTGCTTGAGGTGGAACTATCCTCCGGCACACAATTAAAAATAGCTCTGCATGTGCAGTGTTGCAAGCAGAAACAGTGCACATTCATACTCCTACCACCATGACCACTTCGAATCACTGACGTGGTCATGGTTCTTAGAGTAACCATTTAAGGGCATGCCATTAAACACTAGCTGAAAGGTATCTATTGTTAATTCTTCCTTCCTTTTTTTTTTTTTTTTAAGCTAGCTATCAAAACATAGTTGAGTGCCAGCAATTAAGAACAGTTTTCCCAGAGTTTTGGTTTTGGTTTGTATTCATATAATTTTTAGTAGTTTTTTGAAAGGGAGAATTTCAATTACAAAGGAATATTTTGCAACCTAGCTGCAAATTCATTGTTCGTTTATGTGCTATTAAAATTGTGTCTTAAGTTCTTAATCTACTAAATCTCCATTTTTTTTCCTCCCATTTCTCTGTTATATCATGTAATGCCTTTGGACTGGATTTTTAACATAAACTGACTATACACATGCAAACACCTCTGCCTCTTGTTGTTTTAGCCAACTGGGAACAGCTTATGTTTCTGCCACCACAGGTGCTGTTGCGACAGCTCTAGGACTAAATGCACTAACCAAGGTACTTGACATTCATATTTGTTTTGTAACCTAATTACCAGAATTAACCTATATCCATTTAACTTGTGTTCACTCTAATACAAAGTATACATCCGGTAGCATGTGACCTTGACCACAGAATGCCATGTAAATTACTATGGTCAAGACATATATTGTTGGAGAAAATATGTGTTATTAAAAAAGAAATAATTTTTGATTCTGTGAGTTGATGTGGATTGGGGAAGGCCTGTAATCACTTTATAATGATTGTGTTACCAACAAAGTAGTCTGTCATTGTTCTCGAACCCTGAAAAGGAATCTGTCTGCAAAATACGAGAGTCCTGTTTTATCACCTTAGAAATACAAATTGCATATATATCAATCAAATGCGTATATGTATATACACATGCCCACACATATTGGAATAGCCTGCGGATAGATATTCTGGTTTAATCAGAGAAAGTTGTGTACAACCAGCAGTAATTGTCATGACGTGCTTTGCATTATCAGTGGTTTGATAATTTATTTTCTTCTCTTAACAGTTTTAATTTTATTGTTTAATCCTTCAAGCTATGTGCCATGTTCTTGGTTCTGATATTTCACTAAATCAAGGTAATAATAAAAAATCACCCATTTTTGCTTTATTTTTCTTTAGCATGTCTCACCCCTAATTGGAAGATTTGTTCCCTTTGCTGCTGTAGCTGCTGCCAACTGTATCAATATACCCTTAATGAGACAACGGTAAAATTTTATTTTTCTGTTCATCAATG